ATTTTAGGTGTACTTGGATAAATATGATAATATTCCGTTTGAGTGGTTCTAACGTTTACCATGAAATTACTCGTATTTTTGAAGTTGTTTATTTTTATTAAATGACAGACCTACGCATTAAAAACTTTATGGTTTGCTAGAGTAGTTACCGAAATAGCAATTAGCAGTTCTTTTACCTGTTATAACTTCGATATCCGATAAATCGGTATAACATCATCACCGGCACCTCTAGGTGTGGTATGCGTCTGCGGCTGCAAGTATCGCGTGAGCGGATAAAAGCATTTTTAACGTAGGTATGATCATGTTCCTTTATTAAACAAAGGTTACTAAGTTTGACCGTGAAGCAGCTCGTAATGAGATTTAAATCTAAAATTAAAACCGACAAATTCCATTCCCAAAGTTTATACATTTTTTTACAAGAGACCTACAACCAATAAGATCCCTATTACCCTTGTTACCCTGGTAGGGTTGTAATGCAATGTATACTCCCATCAAACCGCAAATTTATTCCCCTGCACAAACTGCCACAGTCATTAATTACGTTCCTCTGTTTGTTTTTACTAATTCCAGCGAAGACCCTGGGGATTTTTAGAACACATGTTAAGGGAATTCGAACCTTAACGAATATAGGGTAGTTAATTGGTAATTATTATACGTAGTACCATCCTGGTTTGTTACGATATTGGAATTATAAACATTAATCTTCAAGACATAGATTTGTTGTTACAAAAGCAATGACGCAAAAGTAGTGACTTGAGGTTTTTTTTATTACACTATCTTATTATGGCAAAACCAGTGGACAAGTGTTCACATATATAAATAAAAACATTCAACACGTATCCCATTGGGGTTAGCAGGGACTATTTTATTTATATATTTATTTATTTGAGTCGAGCAACTTATGGCCCGTATAACATATAACTAAAGACCTAACATACATTGATATAATTGTAACAACAGAGCTCCTGGCCTATTTCTGCCGCCAAACAGTAATGTTAGCATTACTATGTTCCGGTTTTGAAGGGTAATGGTATTGGTGAAATTACAGGCACATGGGGCTTGTCAACTTATGTCTCAGTGTGAAGGGCGCAGTGGCAGTGCCCCTCAGATCTTTGCGACTTAAAGCTCTGAGTGGCACTGCAACTGTTATGGACAGGCGTGTAGCTTACCATCAGGCTCAGGACTTGTTCGTCCAGTCACTTGATATTATAAAAAAATATATTATAAATAATAAAACTTAATAACTAATCTACATGAATTGCACTTGTCAGCGCCGTGTGACGGTGAGTGTGCGCAAGTCTTTTTTTGTTATGTAATTAATATTAGTAATTAGCTGTTATTAATAAATAGTTCTTTTTAACCAACTTCCAAAAAGGAGGAGGTTCTCAATTCGACTGTATGTGTTTTGTACATATGTTACGCGATAACTCCGGTATTTGTGCACCGATTTTCATGATTCTGTTTTTATTGGAAAGAGGGTACCTTCATAGTGGTCCCATTTAATTTTCAAGAACACCATCCACCTCTAAGAGTCTTCGAATCTTGATGATAAAGATTCGTTTTTAAAAACAGCGCCTAAATTTTATTATAAGGAGCAATTATTTTAATGGTTGATTTTGCTATTCTCTAATTCAAGGCGTTTCTCTCTCTCAATAAACTTTGAGTACTGAGAACCGATTTTTATTATGATGAATCCGGGTTTGCGCACTTTGCGGTAACCGATTTCAAAAAAACTTGGCAAATAGATGTAATTCCACGTACTTTTGAGGTCGGTTTTTTTAGTACTCTGTACTGAGATTATAATAAAAGTGTTATTCATATTAATATTTATTAATATTTGAAGTAAGCAGCTGTAAGATTGAAGAACCTAATTAATTGAAATAATTTAATATTTTTTATGCAACCATTGCATTCAGTGAGTGTTCTTAAAGTCAAGTGTTAAGTAATAGGTACTAGGTAATAGGTAGATAGGCAGATTTTAACCGAATTATTTAATGACAGCAATTACAATCCTTTTTCTGTGAGTAAATAAAATAATGAAACACCACCAATATTTAATGTATAATTTGTTCAATCCATGACAAACAACTCATTGCTTTTTTTAACGAATTTTCATCCATTTATTTGGTTAGGCAAATGTTCCACCACACAGCTTCTTCATATATTTAGGCGAAGGCCAAACAAACGCTACAAACCAAAAAGTAAAGAAATAGAATGGAAGTGGACAAGTAACACTTATACTTTAACTAATATTTTTTTCAATAAAGCTGTATGGTGTATGTATGCAAGATTTTAGGCCAATTTAGCTACTTAAGAGGCAGCAGAGCGTTAAACTAGCGTCAGGTTTGATATTTTTTATTTAGCAAAAATATGACTTTATTTTTTTTTTTTAAATCATTTTTTGATAGTCACATGGACAGGGAGCGCAGGGCGTTGGCTGTAAGGTGCAATACGTTGGCCCGCAGGTTTGCACGCTGTACTACAAACGTGAAGCTCATGCCTTTTAAAGCATTTTGCCAATCATTTTACACGTGCAGCTTGTGGGTCAAGTATACACAGAAAGCGTATGGCGCCCTGTGTGTACAATGACGCACTCAGAATGCTGTTGGGGTTGCCGCGCGAATGTAGCGCTTCAGAAATGTTTGCCGAGGCGCGTGTGGACGGTTTTAGCTCAATTTTGCGAAAGCGGGTGGCATCCCTGATGCGCAGGGTGCGGTGCAGCGACAATGGCATTCTTCGAACAGTGGCCGAGAGGAACGATGGGCCCATATTGTATAGGTGGATAAGGGTATATTGTACATTCTAGATAACTCTTATTAACATAGATGGTAAGGATTTTGTTACTAACACTTTATGGATATCTTATCTGAAATAAAGATTTTGATTTGATTTGATTTGATTAAATTTTTATTGAATTGATATTCAATTATTTTTTGTGAAATTACTACACTAGTTTGTTATAATTATTAATACAAAGATCGAACACTCGGAAAAACACTCAGAAAAATTGATTTGATTTGATTATGGTCTGTGTGCAGAAATGAAATTTTTCATTTCTGTAGCGAGTACCGTAGACAATAGAATTTTGATTCTGTTTGATTACCATCAGGCGCACGTGTCCCGTCACTTGATATTATAAAAAAAATATATTTTTCTATACAAGAGCTGTCAATAGGATATTTAATTTCTGTTCTCCCTCAATAATACTCGTGGGATTTAACAGGTGTGTGTTGCCGGCATCCTTTTTGCAACCCTTTTGCTTTCAAGATTTCCCATTGCCAGTTTTATAATGGCATTCTATATTCTGCTTTATTCGCTTAAAACTTTTTCGAGTTTTCGAAATGGGATTAAAATGTTTCGAGTATTTGCCTGGAAAATATTATAAAAGTTACCTTTAAAGGTGTTTTCAGAACTGTTCAATTTTCCACTATAGTTATTGTATGTATTGTATGTTATGTATAGAAATACAATATGAGTCTAGATTCCACACAAATATAATTCAAAGTGTATTCCATTTAAGTTTATTTGAAAAGAGCAATCCCTAGAGTTTCTTGTTCGTTCTTTTCATTCTCAGGGAAGTCAGCACAGATAACGAGCAGAGCTTAAAAAATGACGTCTTCAAGTGTAAAAAAATTACCTGTGGAGTAAATTGTTATTTGACTTTGATGTGTTTTCATGATCAATTAGACCATCATCAACCCATTCATATGCCCCCTTACCGTGCATGGGTCTTCTCTCAGGCGAGGGTTGTGAACTTCCCACTGCAGGTTGGGGACTTCCCACTTTTTCCGAGAGTTCTGAACCTTATTCGACGTAGCAATAGAGCTCCTTGGGAAAGAGTCCAGTACTGCCATCTTACCTGTTTCTACCGTCAAACAGTAATCCTGAGCATTACTGCCTTCCGGTTTAGAAGGGTAAGTGTGGTGGTGAATTCACAGGCACATGGGACTTGTCAACTTATGTCTCAAGGTGACGGGCGCAGTGGTAGCGCCACTCAGATTTTTGCGATTTAAAGCTCTCGAGTGTTCTGGTACCACGGTAACTAGACAGGCGTGTAGCTTACCACCAGGAGCACGACTTGTTCGTCCCGTCACTTGACGTCATAAAAAAATTTCGATTCAAAAAAAGCACAACTAACATTTTTATTAAAACTAAATCATGTACATATTCGGGATCGGGAAAAAAAGGCCAATCTACCAAATCTTTTGTTCAAATCCATTTGAATAATTGTTGGGTATACAGTAAGCTCAAAAGCCACAACTGACATCAATAATAAGATTTTCTACAATAAAAAGTAGTATTTGACGTTTATTAAATTAAAAACACTAACATCAATGGATTTTACTTAGTAATATACAGAAATGTTCCCTTATTATGCTGTTCAATTACAATAGTTTTTAAACCATATCACAAAGGCGCTGTTTTTAGTTCAGAGTAGAAATTCTACTATCTATGGTACTCGTTACCAAACTGAAAAAAAAAAAGATTAAAGTTCTGTACATAGTGCTTTAATGAGTTTCAAAAAAAGAACGTTGTATTTTTGCCAATTAAAATATAACTGTATGGTCAACTTGCACCGCGAACAGCTCCAGAATTTTAGCTAAAAATGACGAAATGTGCCGTAAATGAGTGCAAAAATACGTCAGACAGACATAAAATAAATAGTTTTTAGAATAAGATTCCGGAGCATATATTAAGATTATCATTTCCTAATTTTAAAACTTACATTAAAAATATTTTAATTGAAAGTCATATTACAAAATTGTAGACTACGTGTTAGATAAAGATATATAGAAAGACAACGTGAGTCTAGATTCCACACAAGTATGATTAAAAATGTATTCTATAGCGTTTAAGTTTATTTGAAACGAGCAATCTCTAGAGTTTCCTGCTCGTTCTTCTCATGGAGGTCAGCGTAGTGAAAGAGCCATAGCTTAAAAATGACGTTTTCTGGTGTAAAAATTTTACCTATGGAATACATGATTATATGTCTTCGACTTTTACTAATTATTTAACAGCATTAGCAGCCCTTTCCTCGGCTTCAGCTTGCAACTCTTGGAGTTTTTGAATTGCCTTTTGCCGTCTTCTTTCCAGTGGTGTTTTGGACCACCAAGTTTCTGCCGCAGCATCCTGAAATATATATGGTCAGCATCAAAATCATCAGTAGCTTGACGGAGTACAGCTTGTGAGCTTCAGGCATTCAATCCTTATCAGCTACACTGTGAAGATCGTCATAGTACGTAGCAAGAGCCATATTGTGCCCTTAGTATAGGCCACGTGGGATGATACATCAAAAGTGATCTTAATCCTTGAAAGTCTAGTAGCAGTAGATCTCCTTGTAGAAGAGTTCATCTAGGGAAGTACTGCCGCCTTACCTATTTCTGCCGCGGTAACGTGAACATTACTGTGTTTCGGTTTTGAAGGGTATAAGAGTGCTGGTGAAATTACGGGTAGTTGATTTTTCAGAAAAACAAATGATTTTCCCAAAATTTTTCCACATTTGACGTAGGCCATTAAAAAGGTTATTTTTCGCTGTTGTCTCTCGTTTTTTATTTAACTTGCTTTTAGCTATATAATTTTGTATTATAATTCACGCTAAATAAAACTTTTAATAAATATTTCTAAACCAAGTAATCATATCTCGATCATATTTTTCCAATTTGTCAGAATTTTTTCCGGAAAAATTTCCACTTTTTGAAATTGGGCGCGCACGTTTGTTCTTGAGGTCTTCGAACATCTTCGATTTTATTTGCAGCATCCAGTCCATACTGGTGTACATATCGAGTTCTTAGGTTTTCGCGATTGTTACACATAGGAAATGAAATTATTTTTCCGGATTTAAATCGCGTATATTTGTTTTTTCAAACAAACCGACGTTTCGGGCCCTTTACGGGTCCCATGGTCACCGTTGACTGTTAACGTATAATATTTGAACGTTTCTACTGAAATGTTGTCATTGACGGTATAAACATTAACTACAATCACTCCTCTACAAAGTTGGTGGTACATATCCCTTTGTTACTTTACTAGCGGTAAGGTTTACTGTGTGATCCCGCCTTGATCGATACGTTACCTGGGTATTGCAAAATTCTTCCACAAAAGCATCACTGAAATATTTTAGGTAAAAGATAGATAAGCTTGTGCAACCTCGACCACAAGAGTTTTAAGATCTTACGCCGGCAAGGCGTTTGTGGTATTAAGGACACTTTTTTTTAGTATTTCAAATATCTGTAGGCGTCGGATAATTTCCATCACGTTGATCGTGTGACTGTTGGCCGGTTGAACGCCATTAACAAAAATACTCAATACTCAATATATTTATTGCATTCATATGGTATACATGTCTTAAATTTAAAATAATGCTACACATATGAGCCCTTTATTAGGGATAACAATAACAGCAGAGGTAGGCCGAGGTTTCAATTATTAATTAAAATTGTTATTTATCAAATAATAATGTTTAAAAAAAAGTCATATGATAATAAAGAAATACGTCATATTATGAGTAGAATTATGTCACTTGAAAGTTTGAATTTAATTAGATTACAGTATATATAATATAATAACTTTATAGTATGTAATTAACATTTATTTATTATTAAAATTTATTATAATATTATTCTTTTTATTTGTCATCAAAATATTCATTTAAATTGTAATAGCATTTATTAATAATATGTAATTTTAATTTATTTAGAAACAATGAATACTTTTCCTCGTTTTTAATAATGGACGAATGGGGACTGGAGCTGTGTATGTGTAGCCGAGATCGTGGCAGAAGCAATCTATTGCGTGGTCTAAAAGTGTGTCGTTGAGGCAGGTCGTCAGTGTTAGTGTAAAAGTCAAGGTGTTGTTTAATAAATTTACAAATTTCTAAAATATATATACAACACAAAGTCAACATTTTAAATTGTTTAAAGTGCGGTCTGCAGCTATCCGTATTACTCAAATTGCCAAGAATGAATTTCTCGCCACATGGCAATTTGTGTCATGATGGATGAACATAACAGATATGATAAGAAAATTTCCTTAACGTGAACGAAGATGTACGAGAATCTAAATTAAATAATAATTACGTAACGTGTACCTGTTCGGCATAAACGGGTTCCTTGTAACTTAGCTGAACAGCTACTTCTTGAGCTTGCAGTGCTCGAATACGTAGCTGCAATCTTCGCTTAGTTGTTAATACAGCATTCAGAGCCGATAAGAGGGTACCTGATATAAGAAAACAAATTAATAACAAGGACCTCCTTGTACCATGCCTCCATGTCATTAATTCGTTCATTTAATTTCAATTCATAATTATTCATTCATATGAGAGTAACAACAATCGAGCTTGATCCAACAATCAAAAGAACATATTAAGATGTATTATATAAATTACATTTTGAGATTTACCTATAGTATAAGAATCAGAAACTCTAGACAAACTAGATACGTCCAATCGAGGAGACAAAGCTCCAGCTTTATGAAGAACAGTTCGCCACATTAAGGAAATACTCCCATAGTCAGCTCTTGGTATTTGAATAACTTTTTGGTAGCA